GACTGCTCTTAAATCTCAAGCCAGGAGCCCCAAAACCTAAACCTCCAAACCCGAGGCCTTTGACCTAATGCTCAGAACCACCAACAAGCCCGCACCTTGGCCCCCTAACCCCTAAACCCCCTCAACCCTAAAACCCAAAACCCTAAAACCCACCTAAACCCCAAACCCTCAACCCTCAACCCTCAACCCTCAACCCTCAACCCTCAACCCTCAACCCTAAACCCTAAACCCCCAAAACCCCCAGGCCCCAAGAAATTGGCTAAGATTTTCTCAGCAACCTCAAAACCCTAAACCCTACACCCTACACCCTAAACCCTAAATTAAACTCTAAACCCTAAACCCTAAACCCCCAAACCCCCCCCCCCCCCCCCCCCCCCAAGAGGTCGCGCCTTGGCAGCTCCCGGGCCTCTATGCCCTGGCTGTGCTCCTGGAAGCCAAGGTGCTGGCCGAGGCGTGGATGTTTAGGGTTTAGGGTTTAGGGTTTAGGGTTTAGGGTTTAGGGTTTAGGGTTTAGTGTTTAGACATGATTTTCAGCGCATCCGCCGGAAGCAACTTCCGTGTTTGGGGCGGAGAGGTTCCTAAATTAAGCGTTATGTCTTAGGCTTTAGGGATCAGCGTTTCAGTTGGTTTGGGGGTTAAGGGTTGAGTTTGCGAGGGTTAGGGTGAGGGGCCCATAATATACATTTAAGGAGGAAGAAATTGTGTTGGGGTTCGTCCGTGATGATGGGGACTTTGGGGAGAGTTGTAATCTTTGGTTCGCTGAACGAAGCCCCCAAACCCTCAAACCAGCATGCCTCTGAATTGCACCCCCCCCCCTCCTTAAGTGCTCAGGGGACTAAGCACTCGTAAGCAAGTCATTTCATCAAGGTTCAGTTAGGAGAGAGCCCAACTTCGGATACTCCCAACCCTAATACCTCTACCATGAACCCCTCCCCCTCCCTGACCCTCCCCGGAGCAGATGCTCGGAGGCAGCCTACAGCCGGCTGGAGGGCAACCTCACGCCCGGCCCCATGGCAGCAAGCAGATTTCGGGCTCCGAACCAGACTCTTGCTACCCGTAGTCGCAGTCCTTGTCATCGTCGTATGGCAGCGGTAGTAGCACCGAGAAAACACAAGTATGAGCTGTTTTGCAGGGGCATCCCAAGCGGCTTTCAATGGGATATCCCTAGCCATGTGTTGTTTCCGATGTTTTTTGGCCCCGAACTCTTGAACCCTGAAGTCCAAAATCCTCGGAGCCCATTTTAGCAGGGTCCTGTACTTTCAGGTTTACGGTTAGGGTTTGTGATCTAGGGTTTCGGGCTTAGGGTGACCTACATTCAGGTCATATCATGTTCAAGACCTTATGAATACGTAGTTTCTGGAAGGGCTACGGTGGATGGAGGATTCCTTGCACTGATTCCGAGGAACAGCGGCCAGCTTGCTGTACGTCTCCAAGCTTCTGGGCGGGAGTTCCGAGGACGCACTGCAAGCCATTTGCAGCGGGCGCGCCTTCCCCTTGCTTCGGCTTAGGTTCCCTGTTTCTAAGCCTAACCCTATACCCTAAACCCTAAACCCTAAACCCCAAACCCCAAACCCCAAACCCCAAACCCTAAACCCTAAACCCTAAACCCTAAACCCTAAACCCTAAACCCTTAAGCAAAAAAGGTTCAGGGTGCCTTTCAAATAGTCAAGTCAACCAAAAGTGTAGATAGAGATTAGGGCCTAAGTGGATTTCCACGACCTAACTCGGAGCTCCGAAAGTTCAGGTTCTACAAGTACGGAACCACATGCATGTAGTGCTGAATGCTGCATCCCATGCTGCTTTCCTAAACCCTAAACCCTAAACCCTAAACCCTAAACCCTAAACCCTAAACCCTAAACCCTAAACCCTAAACCCTAAACCCTAAACCCTTCCATAGATACACCAGAGAAGTAGAGGGGCCATGCCTTGCAGGACTTCAAGCGTGCTGCGGACCGCTGTATTGAGGTGCCGGCAAGGGTTTTTGAGGGTATTGTGGGTGCCGTAGAGTTTCGGGTTTAGGGTTTAGGGTTTAGGGTTTGGGGTTTGGGGTTTGGGGTTTAGGGTTCAGGGCATCAAAAAGGGCCCCAAGTGAGATCAACACCCACAGAATTCTTGCCGGAAGCTGGAGGAAGGGTTTTGGTCATTCTGTGGGCTTGCTAGATGTAGGGCTTCAAGCAGCTCTAAGGTCTACCGGGTTTGAGGGTTCAGGGCTTAGGGGTTCAGCTCCCAATCAGCCGCCGCAGGCACCCGCAGGCCCCCGGAAACATCAACCCCCCAAAGTGCAACCTCAACTTGCGCATTCGACCTGTGAATTTAGGGTTTTAGGGTGTTGGGTTAGGGTTTAATTAGGGTTTACGGTTTAGGGCTCAGAGCCAACTATACTCTATGCGTCCCGTCCCAGATTCCACCTTTTGAAGAATGCGTAAGAATAACCTAGAGTACTTCGGCTTGGGGCTCTTAATGGCCCCAAGACTTAGTTAGCCAATTGTTTAACTAAACTTTTGGGTTTCCTTGTTTAGCAGGAATAATAGAATCTAATTTGTTTCCTTGGTTATTGGAGAATTCGAAGTAAGAAAACACGCCCCACCCACCCACCAGTCCTTGGTAGGTGGTCCGCGGCGGCTTCGGTCGGTTGTGTGACAGCCCTGCCTCTCTTGGCGCCTCGGCAGCAGCTGATGCTGCCCAAGAACTTAGGGTTTTTTTTGCTAGTGCCCTGCGCGCGGGGCTTAGGGTTTAGGGTTTAGGGTTCAGGGTTTAGGGTTTAGGGCCCGTGTCGAGAGATTAGGGTTTAGGGTGGGGGCTTGGCAGACACAGTTGCAGGGTAGAAGAGGCAGTCGAACGGACCACTTTTAGGGCTCAGGGGAGTTAGCATGCAGGTTATATATAGAGCTCGGGTTCCTCAGCGGGATAGAGCAACTTAGGAAACTTCACAACAACTTTTAAAGCCTTTCTTGGAGCCCCCGGGCCGTAAGGCTTCAGTCCACATCTTTGAAAAAGGAAGCCTCCAGTGCCTGCATGAGGCCGAGAAGCAAACCCCCAAGAATCCCTACACCCAAGCAGTCCTCAACTCAAGGCCCGAAACTTGGGATGTTCCCCCCTCGTACTAGCAGTCCTCAGTCGGGATTCTCATAGGGGGTTTACGATAATCCCTATTTAAAGGAGCTGTTTGTATAAAGGGGCAACTCCCCAGCCCGAAACCCTCCACCCCTGTTAGGGGTTTAATTGAGGGGTTTAGGGTTTAGGGTTTAGGGTTTAGGGCTTAGGGTTCAGGGTCCTTTAAGGGGCCCCTGCGTTTCGAGGCTTGCTCTGCAAGATGCCGGTTGAGGTCCTCGTACCCCTGCTGGAGGACCCGATCCTATCGCAAGTTTAGGGTTTAGGGTTTAGGGTTTAGGGTTTGGGGTTTAGGGTTTAGGGTTTAGGGTTTAGGGTTTGGCCTTTTATAGGTTTAGGGTTGGGGTTGTCCCCCTTATATTCGCAGTCCTTCTAGGCCCTAGGATTATACTTTGTGGTACTTTACCGTAACTTTAGATCCTTGCCCTTTTTGGGTTTATTGGGTTTCTTAATAAGGCAGCTAAAAGTTTAATTTATAGCTACCCTCCTGAGTGCTGCCAAGTATAGGCTTAGGGTTGGGATTGTCCCCCTTATATTCGCAGTCCTTCTAGGCCCTAGGATTATAGTAGGGGGGTACTAGAATCCCTACGAAGGACTGTTAGTATAAGGGGCAACAGCCCAAGTTTAGGGTTGAGAGTGTCAGGCCTTGTGGGCTTGGGATTTCAGGGATCAGGATGGCAGGATCAGTATTATGTTTATGCTGCTTTTTATTGTTTTTTTTTTTTCAGTTTTCTGTGTATCCCTGGGGGGGGGGCGCGCTCGGATCTAGGGTTCCTTGGGTCCCTAGAAATGCTGGTCGAACCTTGAATCCTGAACCCTGGCGCCCGACAAGGCACGCATCCCCGACTGCCCTGTTGTGTTCCTGCTTCTTGGGTGGGTGGTGGTCGTTGTAGTTGGGATTGCTTCGCGTATTCCGCCCTGCTCTTGTTGGGTCAAGACATCTTGAGTGAAAGGCCCGTTCCCTCCTTCAAAGTCTTAAACATACCCCATACTCGTGACGGCGACCTTCTTTCGTACGTTTTCTGGCCTTGATACTGCCATGCTTATGAGATCGACTCAGGTTGCACATCCGCGACCTTCTTGGGGCACCCCGACCCCGAAACCCTAAACCACCCTAAACCCCCCTAAACCCCCCTAAACCCCCCTAAACCCCCCTAAACCCCCCTAAACCCCCCTAAACCCCCCTAAACCCCCCTAAACCCCCCTAAACCCTAAACCCCCCTAAACCCTAAACCCTAAACCCTAAACCCTAAACCCTAAACCCTAAACCCTAAACCCTAAACCCTAAACCCTAAATCCTAAACCCCCTAAGCCCTAAAGGCCTAAACCCTAAACCTACAATACCGTAGCTTTGTGTCCTTAAGGCAAGGACCCGCCCTCACATCCCAGTTACAGGACGACCAGCTGGAGATCCAAAACGAAAGTAGCGTTCTTCGAGCTGCGCCCTGCCTTCCACCCAAGGGATGAGATGAAATGAGCCCGAACTTAGCGGGAATTTAGGGTTTAGGGGTTTAGGGTGTGGGGATGTAGGGTTGAGGGTTCAGGGTTGAGGATTTCGGGGGTAACGTTCGTCGACGGCAGACCCCAAAGTAGGTCTTTTCTTACTCTGAGGAGTCCCAGTGTGAATCCTGAACCTGAAACTCCATAACCAGGAGCCCGAGTGGGCTCTTATTCCCTTTTGTTAGGGTTTAGGTTCCCTCAAAAGCCCCTGTAAACCAAAAAAGGGCACCCTTCTCGATTCCGAGGTTACTCCCTGGGTCTAGATAAAGTAAAGAGCGGCGTTTACTCTCACCTCGGGGGTGTAGGGTTTTGGATTTCCATGCTCCGCCGGAGCTGGCGGGCCTTGTCTTGGTTCTCAGGGGCTCTGGGCGTTAGGAGGGCAGAGAGTCAGGGCTTTGCAGGGCTTAGGGATTTGGGGTGTAAGGGTTTGGGCTTTGGCCATTGCATGGAGGATCTGCAGTGGTTCCGAGGGTATCCTGGTAAGACCTGAGCCCTGCATGAGTAGTCTCATTAGGCCCAAAGCCGTATATGAAGCCTTGAACCCTGTATTCTTGTAACTCGCAGAATCTCAAAATGCCCTGTAAGCCCTAAACCCTTAGCCTCTAAACCCAAACGTTCTCAACCCTGAGCCCTAGACCCTAAACCCTAAACCCTAAACCCTAAACCCTAAACCCTAAACCCTAAACCCTAAACCCTAAACCCTAAACCCTAAACCCTAAACCCTAAACCCTGGCATCGGCCAAGGTGCGCCACACGCTGTGGCGCCGGCTTCCCCGCGCGGGCAGGCGGTTTCAGGGTTTCAGAGTCTGAGGGGCCTTCGGGGTTTGGGTCTTTTTTGGTTTTTTAGTTTTTAAGGGTTTAGGGTTTAGGGTTTACGGTTGAGGGTTTAGGGTTTAGGCTACCTGTTCTCCACGTGGTTCTTGGACTAGTCCCCTCACTGAGCCCCTTCTTGGGATACAGGCAGACTTCGCTGCCATGCAGCTTAGCCATGACGTGTTTCATCCTGCGAGCATCAGCAATCCTTTGTGGTAGTACTAGCGTAACTTTAGATCCTTACCCTTTTTGGGTTTATTGGGTTTCGTAGTAAGGCAGCCAGAAGTTTAATTTATAGCTACCCTCCTGAGTGCTGCCAAGAGTCTGGCCGCTCGACAGGCAGCATGGTCATTGAACCGCCAGCGGAGACGAGCCTGTCGAGCCCTGCTGTCCTGGCTGCGACATCAACCCTGAACCCTAAACCCTAAACCCTAAACCCTAAACCCTAAACCCTAAACCCTAAACCCTAAACCCTAAACCCTAAACCCTAAACCCTAAACCCTAAACCCTAAACCCTGTACACAGTCATCAAGCGAAAGTGGAGATTTCTGGGGCACTGCCTGCGGAGGGAGGACGGCTGGCTCGAGATGTCTTTCATCGCAGCGAAAGACTCCGGCAGGTGCAAGCAGTCGAAGCCTGCTCCCTGGAGCAATGTCTCTTCATGGTTGCAAAAGGACCCTAAACCCTCAACCCTGAACCCTGAACCCTAAACCCTAAACCCTAAACCCTAAACCCTAAACCCTAAACCCTAAACCCTAAACCCTAAACCCTAAACCCTAAACCCTAAACCCTAAACCCTAAACCCTAAACCCTAAACCCTAAACCCTAAACCCTAAACCCTAAACCCTAAACCCTAAACCCTAAACCCTAAACCCTAAACCCTTACCCTGAACCAGTTCGGGTGGTTCGAAGGTGCTCCGAGGCTGACAGACATTCGACTGAGAGCGCAGGATAGGGAGACATGGTCAAAAGGATTTTAGGGGTTTGAGGGTCTAGGGGTTTTAGGGGTTTAGGGTTTTAGGAGTTTCAGGGTTTGAGGGTTTTGAGGTTTTAGGGGTTCCAGGGGGTTTAGGGTTTTAGGAGTTTCAGGGTTTGAGGGTTTTGAAGTTCTTGAGCTTTTTTTCTTTAGGGTGCAGGTCGCTGGGTTGCAGCCCTGAGCCCAGAATTGAGCTTCTGAAGCCCTTTTGGGATTTAGGATTTAGGATTTAGGGTTTAGGGTTTAGGGTTGACTCCTCAGGGTTGTATGGGAGTCGCAAAGCTGTTCAGCAAACCTCCCCTGATCCTTTTAAGCACCCCAGAGGAGCAACAAAACGCGAAACCCCTGACATAAATCCCCGAAGACCCTAACCCCGAAACCCCTGAGACAGCTAAACAAGAAAGCGAGCAACAACACACCTGAGCGCTTAACCCCTTAATCCCGAACATTCAACCCCAAATCCTAGACCCCCAAACCCTAAACCCGAAACCCAAACACGTTCACCCTGAATCCCGAAGCCGAAAACCCTAGCCCTTTCACCCTGATTCCCTACCCCAAACCCCGAACCCCAGCCCTTTCACCCTGAATCCCTAAACTCGAAACCTTAAACGCTACACCCCAAACCCTAAACCCCGAACCGGAAACCCTCAGCTCTAAACCCCAAACCCTAAATCCCAAACCCTAAACCCTAAACCCTAAACCCTAAACCCCAAACCCTAAACCCTACACCCTAAACCCTAAACCCTAAACCCTAAACCCTAAACCCCAAACCCTAAAACCCTAAACCCTAAACCCTCAGCCTGGGGAGGTCGCTGAAGCTGAGCGGCCGACTCTGTGAGTCGCCAAAGCTCTTCGCATCAGAGGGCGGCCCGCCGAAAAGTTAGGGTTTAGGGTTTAGGGTTTAGGGTTTAGGGTTTAGGGTTTAGGGTTTAGGGTTTAGGGTTTAGGGTTTAGGGTTTAGGGTTTAGGGTTTAGGGCTTGGGGTTTTGGGGCTTGGGGTCTAGGGTTTAGGGTTTGGGGTTTAGGGGTTTGGGGTTTGGAGTTTAGGGTTCAGGGTTTAGGGTTTGGGGTTTGGGTCTAGCATTTCTTAAGTTAGGGTTTAGGGCAGGGTGTGAAATGATTGTTTGATCAGAATGATGCTTGACCACCTGAGCGCAACAGGAACTCGACAACAGTGTGGCTATCAAGCTGAAGCAATAAGCAGGCTAAACCCTAAACCCTAAACCCTAAACCCTAAACCCTAAACAGTAAACCCTAAACCCTTCTAGCCTTGCGACTTACAGGCTTCCAAGCCGGCTGACAAAGCCCATAACTCCCTAAACCCTAAACCCTAAACCCCAAACCCCAAACCCCAAACCCTAAACCCTAAACCCTAAAGTCCAGCGAGGTCTCCAGCTGAAGTGGGAGCTGCAGCTTCTGGAGGTTGGGCGGGGGAGGGGTGGGCCCATTTAGGGTCAGAAAGGGCTTTGGGGTTTAGGGTTAGAAGGGCAGCTGGGTGTAGAATTTAGGATTTGGTGCTCAGGGTTTGGGCTTTTTTTGGGGTTTTGGCTTGGTTTGGGGTTTTCTGTTTGGGTTTCAGGTGTCGTTCAGGGTCAAGTTTGATGACTAGGCTGTGGTTATGTTGGTTGAGTCATTGTAGGGTCAAGCCATCATCACACCGCCCCCGGCCACCTCCGCCAGCAGCTCCCTGCTTGGCGAAGCCCCGACCGCCCAGGGGATTTCCAGCGCTGCCTCCTTAGGGAAACCCTAAACGCCCTAAACCCTTTGCCCTAAACCTGAACGCCCTAAACCCTAAACCCTAAACCCTAAACCTAAACCCTCCTTTGCCATCATGACGCTGCCCGCTGGGAGGCCCGTGTGATGAAGAACTCAGGCTTCATGAAGAGGTGGCCCCGGTGCACCCGATTGAGCCTTGTGCCCTGAGAGCCTTAACCCTAAACCCTAAACCCTAAACCCTAAACCCTAAACCCTAAACCCTAAACCCTAAACCGTGGTCGCCTCCACCGTCGCCTTCGACCCCCCACGCGGGGAATTTTGCCGGAGAAGACACCGGGCCACGTGGCGCCAGACAAGGACCTGGATACGCCACAGTTGATGGTTTAGGTGCATCGCATATTCACGTGAGAATATATTCATATGACAATGTAGCAATATCGTATAGATAAGACAATACGGTAATATAATCATACAATATAATATATATATATATATATATGAAGTTTCATGTAAACGAAGTATTTAAGGTGTGAAGATGAAGCATTCCCACAGCCCTCGGCGTGCCTGAAGCCGATTCTCTTCACTTGGGTTTTCTTTTCGGTGTCGCTGTTCTGATACGGTCCCGTGTATGAACCCTAAACCCTAAACCCTGAACCCTACACCCCAAACCCTAAACCCCAAACCCCAAACCCTAAACCCCGGCTTAACCCCAAACCCTGAACGCTAAACCCTAAACCCCATCCCCTAAACCCTAAACCCTAAACCCCAAATTTCGAGAACGCGAACTGAAGGTTCCGCTCTCTGAGCTGTCGGCTACGCCCGCGCCACCTGTCGACCGACGCTGGGCCGAACAGAGTTTTGGGTTCAGGGTCTAGGATGTGTGGGTTTAGGGTTTAGGGTTTAGGGTTTAGTGTTTAGGGTTTTGGGTTTAGGATTTAGGGTTTAGGGTTTAGGGTTTAGGCATTAGGGATTAGAGTGTATAGGTTTCGGGGGTTCGGTTCTTGGCCGGTCCACAACGTCGAACCAGCAACTGCTGAATACCCAATGGTGCGTGGTCCTCTCCAGTTGGGGTTGGGGCGTCAGTTTTTGTCAAGGTCGCAATCTTGGCTTCCAGTGGGGGACGGGCTACCATGTGCCCACAAGAGTAGGAGATTTAGGGGTGGCAAGATCCCACCAAGAGCCATGTGGGAGCCGAATTTAAAAACAATATTCCTGAAGCTCCACAAACCGAACCCTCCCAATCCTCAACCCTCCCTGAACACCAAGTTTCCCAAGCTCTGAATCTAGCACAAACCTCAAAGGCCCTAAAATCCTCCCTGAACACCAAGTTTCCCAAGCTCTGACTCTAGCACAAACCTCAAATGCCCTAAAATCCTAAGCCCTGAAAACCCTAATGCCCAAAACCCGAAACCCTCAAACTCTAACCCCTAAACCCCAAACCCTGAACCCCAACTGACCCTCTTAAACTGAGCACACCTAAAGACCTGAACCCTACAGGTCAGAAAGCCTTAGAAGCCTTACACCTGAGCACACCTAAAACCCAAAGCCCTAAACCCAAGTCCCTAAACCCTAAACCAACCCTAAACCCCAAGCCCGAAACCCCAAACCCAAAACCCAAAACCCAAATCCCCAAACCCTAAACCCCAAACCCCTAAACCCAAAACCTAAACCCTAAATCCTAAACCCTAAACCCTAAACCCTAAACCTTAAACCCTAAACCCTAAACCCTAAACCCTAAACCTTAAACCCTAAACCCTAAACCCTAAACCCTAAACCCTAAATGACCCTCTTAAGCCTGAGGGCACAATACGTGAGGCTTCAGTGCTTCGGACTCCGCTGCGGCGGCGGAGGCGGCTCCGGGCGAAGGCCCGGTGAGTTCTTTAGGGTTTAGGGTTTAGGGTTTAGGGTTTAGGGTTTAGGGTTTAGGGTTTAGGGTTTAGGGTTTAGGGTTTAGGGTTTAGGGTTTAGGGTTTAGGGTTTAGGGTTTAGGGTTTAGGGTTTAGGGTTTAGGGTTTAGGGTCTGGGTCTAGGGCTTAGGGTCTAGGGTTTAGGGTTCTGTCTGAGGCGGCATGTTTAGGCTTTTTTTTGGGGGGATTTTTGGGGGGCTGAGGGCTTGTTAGATTTCTTTTTGGGTTTTGGGGGCTAGAGGGGCTGTAGGGGTCCAGGGTCTTCGGGCTTTGAAGTTAGTCACCCGAAAAAACAAAACCCCTAAACCCTAGAAACCTAGACCCTAGACCCTAGACCCTAAACCCTAAACCCTAAACCCTAAACCCTAAACTCTAAACCCTAAACCCTAAACCCTAAACCCTAAACCCTAAACCCTAAACCCCCCCAAAACCCACTCTACAAGGCGCCAAGCTACCAGAGCTGTCGCTTCGGCTCCCGGGCGATGCGGCGCCGGCGGCTCTCCTCCGGGGCCGAAGGGACAACGGCGAGGCGGTTGAGGGTTCAGGGTTCATGGTTCAGGGTTTAGGGTTTAGGGCTTAGGGTTTAGGGTTTAGGGTTTAGGTTTTAGGGTTTAGGATTTAGGGTTTAGGGTTTAGGGTTTAGGGTTGGGGTTTGTCTTGGTAGCCCAGTGGTACCCTTTTGCCCTTACTTTGGTTCTAGGTTCCAAAGGGTACCTTTCTTGCAGGGTGGTTGCTGGCGCTGGACTACCAAGCGGGGGTTATTGACAATCTTGTGTTTTTAGGGTTGGGGGAGGGGGGCTGTGGAATTTAGGGACCCTAAACCCTAAAAGGATGGACTTCACGCCTTAGTCCGTACTCTGAATAAGAGCAGCTGGAGGACATGTATACAAGGAAGTTGTCGGGCCGGAATGGCATCGACTTGTGTAAGGCAGCTGTTGTGCTGAGCCTTGACCATAGCTCATAGGGGGGTTGATTCATATATATATATATATAGACATGTTACATGGCCCCGGGGCGGACAGCAAGGCCATGACTGAGGCAGGTAGCTGCTTGCGGCAGTTTTGCACAGAGGCGCAGCATTCTTTTCAAGAAGATCGGTTTGAAGTGGGAAAGCATGGCACGCCCGTGTTCTCGTGCCGTGTGCCAACACTGCGGCCTTCGAGTTGGGCTGTTCGGGGTAAATGGTTTCTGAGTAGCTGAGTGAGTACACTTTACACTTTTTGGGATACTGTAATCCCCCGTAGAACTGAAAGTGTACTTTTTTTGGGGGCTTATGAACTCAGCAACTAAGGTTTCGGCCTTAGTCGGAGAAGACATGAGGCCCGCTGCGCTGTAACTGCTGCCCAAGAGATGCCCCCGGCCCCAGCTCCGATCCCACCCGGCGTCCTTGAAGCTGCCAAGCTTCTTGTGGCAAAAGTCGACGTGGGCATGGATGTGGAGATACTGCAGGAAAACGACGTAGTCCGCTTCCTGTACTTCTCGCAGAAAGAGATGGAGGGGCTTGCTGGCGGCAGACCAAGCAATAGCGCACGAGGTCACTTCGGGGTACTTGGAAATACTTTTCAACTTCTGGTTCCTATAATCCCTAAGGAGTAGCTAAAGTTTCAATTTTTGCTATAGGGTGCCAACTTCAGTATAGGTCATGGATCTGGCCATTGTCACGTGGAAGCCCGGGGGAGGGCCAGGTGCGCCGGTTAAGCCTGCCTTGGCCACGGGGTCCGGGAAACTAGGTAGGGTCCTGGAACATTTTTTTTTCACCCTTTGGGTTTAAGAGGATCATATTCAGGACCATTTTCAGAGGCTTTTAGAGGCCATCCTAGGAAAGAAAATACACTGGCAGTGCAAGCGCGTCCCTGTCGGCGCTGCGAGACGATGAAGCAAGACATTGGCATCGACCTCCTTGCCGACAATCTCCCAAAGTACGTAGATGCAGATGACATGTTAGACGTTGGAGAAAGCTTTAAGGCCATCGCCCGGGACGTTGCACACAGCTGCAGCAGCTGGCCCGCCGACTCACAATAAGCGGGGCAGCCTACGGCGGTGGTTGAGCCTTGTGCTTTTCAAGATAGTGCTATCTTGGAAAGCGCAAGGCTCAACCGCCGCCGTAGGCTGCCCCGCTTATGGCGGTTTCACCACCCGATCATCCTTGTGAGGATCTCTCGCACGTTGGGTTGGACCTATGCTAATGGTTTCGTAAACAGGGAGGCGCCGCCTCCCTGTTTGCGAAGCCAAACGGAGGCGCTGCGCAAGCCGAAAACCTGGGCCATGCAAGCGGCAGCGCCTGGCTTGTTGAGGGTTCGGCAATTTGTTGAAATTGGGCCACCCACATGAAGACTGAACCCCAAACCCTTTGTTTGCCCTTGGGTGCCGCAATTTAGGGAACCTACCATAGATAAACCCCAAACATAGCATTTAGGGCTTAGGGGCTCACCCATCCATTGAAGTTTTCCTTTTGTCCCCAAGGTTCCTCTAACTGCCTAGGCGGGGGCACCCCTATGAGAATTTTGATTCCCAGGATGCGAGTCTATGAAACCCGCAGGCTACCCCAACTCGCCCCGGTCTGACACCAGCCATGAAGCAAACCTGCGCCCTGAGCTTGTGGGCCGCACCATGACCCAGAATCTCAAACTAGCCCTAAACCCTAAAAGCTCCGGGACTTCTTTTGCGAACGGCTGGCGCCCAAACCCTAAACCCTGAACTAAACCCTCAACCCTAAATAGATGGACTTCACGCCTTAGTCCGTACTCTGAATAGGAGCAGCATGTGTACAAGGAAGTTGTCCGGCCGGAATGGCATCGAGTTGTGTAAGGCAGCTGTTGTGCTGAGCCTTGACCGTAGCTCATATGGGGGGTTGATTCATATATATATATATATATATATAGACATGTTGCATGGCCCCGGGGCGGACAGCAAGGCCATGACTGAGGCAGGTAGCTGCTTGCGGCAGTTTTGCACAGAGGCGCAGCATTCTTTTTCAAGAAGATCGGTTTGAAGTGGGAAAGCATGGCACGCCCGTGTTCTCGTGCCGTGTGCCAACACTGCGGCCTTCGAGTTGGGCTGTTCGGGGTAAATGGTTTCTGAGTAGCTGAGTGAGTACACTTTACACTTTTTGGGATACTGTAATCCCCCGTAGAACTGAAAGTGTACATTTTTTGGGAGCTTATGAACTCAGCAACTAAGGTTTCGGCCTTAGTCGGAGAAGACATGAGGCCCGCTGCGCTGCAGCTGCTGCCCAAGAGATGCCAACTCCGATCCAAGCAATCCAGCCCGGCGTCCTTGAAGCTGCCAAGCTTCTGGTGGCAAAAGTCGATGTGGGCGTGGATGTGGAGATCTTGCAGGAAAACGACTTAGTCCACTTCCTGCACTTTTCGCAGAAAGAGATGGAGGGGCTGCTGGCGGCAGACCCAGCAATTGCGCGCGAGGTCACTTCGGGGTACTTGGAAAATACTTTTCAACTTCTGGTTCCTATAATCCCTAAGGAATAGCTAAAGTTTCAGTTTTTTTCTATAGGGTGCCAACTTCAGTATAGGTCATGGGTCTGGCCATCGTCACGTGGAAGCCCGGGGGAGGGCCAGGTGCGCCGGTTAAGCCCAAGGCCATGGGGTCAGGGAAACTAGGTAGGGTCCTGGAACATTTTTTCACCCTTTGGGTTTAAGAGGATCAAATTCAGGACCATTTTCAAAGGCTTTTAAAGGCCATCCTAGGAAAGAAAATACACTGGCAGTGCAAGCGCGTCCCTTTCGGCGCCGCGAGACGATGAAGCAAGACATTGGCATCGACCTCCTTGCCGACAATCTCCCAAAGTACGTAGATACGGATGACATGTTAGACGTTGGAGAAGACTTTAAGGCCATCGCCCGGGAACGTTGCACAAAGCTGCAGCAGCTGGCCCGCCGACTCGCAATAAGCGGGGCAGCCTACGGCGGTGGCTGAGCCTTGTGCTTTCCAAGATAGTGCAATGGCGGTTTCACCACCCGATCATCCTTGTGAGGAGCTCTCACACCTTTGGGTCGGGCCTACTGGCTTATGGTTTCGAAATCAGGGAGGCGCTGCGCAAGCCGAAAATCTGGACCGTGCAAGCGGCAAGCGCCTGGTTTGTTGAAAGTTACGCAACTTGTTGAATTGGGCCACCCAAATGCAGACTGAACCCCAAACCCTTTCTTTGCCCTTGATTGCCACAATTAGTGGAACCTACCATAGATGAACCCCAAACATAGCATACATAGCATTTAGGATCCCAAAATCCCTGGGCTTGCATGCTTCTGTGCGAGGGTTTAGGTTCAGGGTTTAGCCTTTTCAAGGGGGGTTAGGGTTTAGGGTTTAGGGTTTAGCGTTTAGGGTTTAGGGTTTAGGGTAAGTTTAGGCTTTTTAAGGGGGTCTACGTGTTGGCGCATGTATCCTCGAATGGAAGGAAGATATCAACCGCGCCCCGACACAAAAAACAAAGAATCGAGGGACAAGTTTATGCAGCTTCCTCTCCCTCATGTAGCCTTTCGAAAAGGAAGTCGTAAAACTTGAACTTCGGGTGTGTCTTAGTATAGACAAGGGATATGAGTGGGGTTGGGTTTTAGGTTGGACCATGAGTTTGCTAGCGCTCGGAGTTCGTCTCTACTCCCACTTGGCAGCTCATTGATCTTATGCTTGGTAAGTAGAGACCAAGATTCCCAAAACGAGTTAACGCATGCAATCTCCTTGCTCAGTTTTCTGAGCCCCTCAAGCCAAAGGCAGCGCGTGCTGCTTCCTGTCGGAAGCGCATAGGGTTGACCTACTCAACTCGAAACCCTAAACTCGAAACCCTGAGCCCCCAAAACGGGAAGCACATCTGTCGGCGTACCTTGGTCCAGGACACCATAGTACACCTGAATTGGCGGCTAGTTTTCCCCATGTTCGGTCCTTCTGTAAGGGCACCTACCTTCCCCGGGGATTCAGGACTTGTGTAGGGTGTAGGGTTTAGGGTTCAGGGTTTATGGTGTCGCCCTAAACCCTAAACCCTAAACCCTAAACCCTAAACCCTAAACCCTAAACCCTAAACCCTAAACCCTAAACCCTAAACCCTAAACCCTAAACCCCAAACCCTAAACCCTAAACCCTAAACCCTAAACCCTAAACCCTTAACCCTTAACCCTTAACCCTTAACCCATAACCCTTAACCCTTAACCCTAAACCCTAAACCCTAAACCCTAAACCCTAGACCCTAAGTCTGTAGTGCTTGGGGCCTCCAACTTGGCGAAGAGGCTGCAGTCTCCGCCTTCCTTCCACTGCAGAACCTTCCGGAGGCAGCACTTCGTGGCCGGAGGGGTTTAGGGTTTAGGGTTTAGGTTTAGGGTTTGGGGGTTTAGGGTTTAGGGTTTGGGGTTTAGGGTTAGGGTTTAGGGTTTAGGGTTTAGGGCCTTAAACCCTAACATTCCAGACCACCCTAAAGCCCCTAAACCCCAAGCACCCTAAACCCTAAACTGACCCCGAACCCTAAACCCTACACCCTAAACCCCAAACCCTAAATCCCTGAACCCCTACACCCCTCGACCCTAAGCTGGGGAGTTGGGTTTCAGTGTCTGCGCGTTGAAATCGGGCTTCGGATTTTTGGCCATACTCTGATGGGTCGGCGGGGGGGGGGGGGGGGGGGGGGGTTAGGATTTAGGGTTTAGGGTGTAGGGTTTAGGGTTAGGGGGGTTTAGGGTTTAGGGTTTAGGGTTTAGGGTTTAGGGTTTAGGGTTTAGGGTTTAGGGTTTAGGGTTTAGGGTTTAGGGTTTAGGGTTTAGGGTTTAGGGTTTAGGTTGGGATGCCTAGTACCCACCCTGATTCCCTTCTTTCGGGCCTTAGAGTCCCTTGTAAACCTGGTTTTTTCCTACCTAGTGTTTAGGGTTTCAGAGTTTTAGGGTTTAGGGTTTAGGGTTTAGGGTTTAGGGTTTAGGGATTCAGGGTTTCAGGGTTTCAGGGTTTTAGGGTTTTGGGTTAGGGTTTGGGGTTTCAAGCTACGGTGCAGGGTTCAGGGGTTTTGGGCTCAGTGCGGCTTCAGGGCAGCAGTGTCCTCATTTTTGTTTCTGAGCTTTGTGTCGGGACTTTCTTCCTTCTGCGAACACTCTCTCGTAGGAACTATGCGTAAACCCCAGACCCGAAACCCTCCTAAACCCTAAGCCCTAAACCCCTAAACCCTAAATGGCCAGTGATTGCTCTAAGTCTTGGGCCGATTTGTTCTCAACTTTGGTGTTTCGAGTCGCTGGGTCTTTCCAGAGACCCGCGAAACCCAGAAGCTAAGGAATTGTTGATGAAATCAAACCCCAACCCTAAACTCTAAACCCTAAACCCTAAAAACCTAAACCCTAAACTTGAGGTTTCGGGCTTGGGGCCGAAAGACAGCTCGAAGTTTGGGCTTCTGGGCTTTTTTGGGGTTTTGGGCTTTTGGGTTTCCGTTGGGGGGGAGGGGGTTTTGGGCTGGTTTTGGGGGCTTTGGGGTTGAGGGTGTCTCAGGGTAGGGTTTCGAGGGGTTGAGGGGTTTGGGGTTTCGAGGTTTAGGGTCTGTCGGGTTTAGGGCTTAGGGTTTATATAGGGTTTTAGGGTTTAGGGTTAGAGTTCAGACCCTAACCCCTACAACCCGAACCCCAAAAAGGGTTTGGGCGTCGAGGGGTTTAGGGTTCCAGATTGGCGTGCAGCAAGTTAGGCAACCGTGGCCTGGCGGTTCGGGATGCAGCGCTTAGGGTTTAGGGTTTTTTTTTTTGGGGATTTTAGGGATTTTGGGAATTTTTGGGTTTTGGGGGATTTTGGGGGGTTTTTGGGTTTTTTTGGGTTTAGGGTTCAGGGCTTAAAGTTCAGGGTTTAGGGTTTAGGGTTTAAGGTTGAGGTTGGGGTTTGGAACTCTTGGGCTTTAAGAGCCCCGAGCCAGGGGGAGGAGCCGTCGGCGGAGATGGCCGCCGAGGCGGGAGAGGGAGCTGCGAGCTCCTGACCTGTAGTCTGAGGGCACTGAGGGCACTTTCATTTGCTAGGTAGGGTTTAGGGTTTAAGTTTTAGGTTTTAGGGTTTAGGGTCTAGGGTTTAGGGTTTAGGGTTTAGGGTTTAGGGTTTAGGGATAGGGTTTGAGGTTTGGGGTTTTGGTTTTGGGTTTTGGGTTTTGGGTTTTGGGCTTAGGGCCCTAAGCTTAGGGCTTAGGGCTTAGGGTTTTGGGTAGTTTCATGGGCCCTTAATGTGGTCCCTAACCTCCGTTAAAGGGTTCAGATGTATGGGCCCTTCATTTGTATAGCGTATATAAGGGGTGCCCGTTTAGTTTAAGGGCAAAGGCCCACACTAAGGGACCAAGACCCTAAGATGTAGGGGTACACCCGAAACCTGCAAACTCCAGACCTTGGGATGTTTCCGCTTAGACTAACAGTCCTTAACAGGGATTATTTCTACCGCCTATTGTAATCCCTATGAAGGACAGTTAGTATAAGGGCTAGACCCTCAATTCTAGACTCCCTCAGGCCTGACTCCCATAAGTCCGCGCCTTGCCGGGCACAAAGGGTCCCACTGTTGCACAAGCCGACGGGCATGTCAGCAGGGCTTTTGTGGCTTGTGGGGCTTAGGGTGCGGTTCATGAAGTCAGTAGCGGAAAGCTGAGATGGGCAAACGAGTATAATGGCATTGATATAGAACAGGTTGTTGGGGGTCTATTAGCAATTATTCCGAACCCTACACTAAATATTACCTCCGTCTGTGCCCCTAAGAAGCTGGGTGGTGATTTTAGGGTTCTTTGGCTTCGGTGTCTTTGCTGATCTTAAGCATGTTGCGCTCTCCACGTTTCGTCTGCTCGGCGGTTTAGGCTTTGGGTTTAGGGTTTAGGGTTTAGGCTTTTAGTTCCCTTCACGTGGCTTCAGGTAGTGCATCCGCTACGCATCATGAAGACTGAGTCTTGGGAAAGTAGCATCAGAGAGGGGTAGCAGAACGTCATCATCTAGTAAATTTGGGCGAACTGAATCCCTAAACTTCAGATAACCCTGCGAACCCTAAACCCCAAAGTTGCCCGAGGCAGCCGACGCCGAAGGCAAGCCTGCAGGAAGGGTGCGCTTTACGCCCTGAACCCAGGCGCAGAGGTTCAGGGCTTCAGATTCCAGTAACTTTCAGCCTGCAAAGCTCCAACACGCTCCAAAAAGTTGAGCGCCAAACGAAGCCTGAACCCTCAAGCCGTGCAGCCCTTTTCTGACACCTTCAAAAGGGCTGAAGCGCAATTCGAAGTCACGGGTTCAGGGTTCGGGGCTGCGGTGCTTCAGAAGGCTTGCTTGCATGTGATCGGCTTCCCTACTATTGGCTCATGTGGTGCTGGACTTGCGAGAACTCATGCCAAAAAATAGCTGGCAATGTGTTGATGCACCACTTGTAAGCTTGCTTTTGCGCGTTTTGGGCAGGTTCGGGCTCCAGGGAAGGTTTGCTTTGTCGTGTCTACTTATTCACAAAGGGTCGTTTAGGCTTCTTCATCGTTGGCCTAGATGTATACGGGAGTGTTCTGCGCAGCCGCTGCCCCATTGTACACACCGGCTTTCGAGCTTCCACTGAAGCACGGCGGGGGTGGAGCCTACATCCGGCCCAGCCTGACTGCGTCCCGCCGCAGTCGGATTAACTTGCCTGGGCTTGCAACAGCCGGCTGGGCTGGTGTTCGGACGCGTACTGCACTTCAGGGCCGAAAACATGGACGGCATAGACAATCAGGAGGGCCTCACACCACTGAGCTATTGGTGGATGCAGACGCCTCAAGGCGGGATGATATTGAATCAGCAGTTGAACAGCTTAGCTGTGATTCGCACGAGGTGCGGACTGTGATCTACGCAGAGCCTGGGAGACGGTTGAACACAGAATGGAATGAACTTGCGGGCAGACCTGGATACGCCTTCAGACCAGTGAGCCGTGATGTTGTACTTGGAGAACCAAACGACAGGGCCATTCAGAAGCACCTCCGTTCTCTCGTCTCAGAGCCCTCTATCGGTCGTGTTGCGCTGATGACAGCGGATACTGATTTTGTTGAGGACATGAGATCCATTGCCCTGGCTGGAAAGGAGAGTTTGGTTTTCGTCTCCTCAACGTATGCGGGAGCAATCGAGGAATACAGGATGGCTGGCATCAAAGTGGTGCAATTGGAGCTGCGCAAGCAGCTCATGTACAAGGTAAGAGCAGTCCTTAACACCGATGGCTCAGGATTTGTAGAGAAGTGTGCGCCTATATCACATGCAACAGCCAGCAAAGAGGTTGAGATGTTGAAGGAGTTTCTGTGCAGATGGGGGTATACACCTCACGAGAACGTTTTTCTACCTACAGCCATTGCGAAATTCTTTTTTACAAACTCCCTTGGCCCCCTCACCGTTTACCCCTCAACATCATGCTTCATGGAGGCGCATCGCATAGCTGCGGCAAGCTTGCCTTCCCACGCGTGGCAGAGCTATCATGAGGAGATTGCTTTCTTTCTGCCTCATGGAAGTGCGACGAGGTCAAGAATCAGCAAGACCCAGCGTAAAACATATGGAACCCCAGCGTGCTTGAGTTTTTTTCGAGGCGTGGGCCCTTTCATGTTGACACAGAAGAGCGACCTGGTGAAAGAGGCGCTGCAGAGACTTGGCTTTCTGGACGACCACTACAATGCAGACCTGTTTGAAGCGATGCTTGTATTTGCTAATACGGGGTTTAACAAGAAGCTCCTCCGAAAGACGGCGGCGCTGCCTGAGCCAGGTGACTCTTCAAAACAGCTTGCTGACAAGTTCATGCGGGCCTTCCTTTCAAGCGCCACCAGCGGGCAGTGGCAGATGGCTCAAGGGGATGCACAAGTTCGGAGGCTTTTGCTCAAAGAAAACCTTATCACAGCTCAGAGTGCTCCGCGGGCAGAAATGCTTGAAGCAATGCAGCGGCTCTCCAAGAAGGTCGGGTTGCCAAAGAGGAAAACTTACAATGGCGTTGTGTGGCAGATTTTGCTACACATCAATCAGAAGGACCCCTTGCGCAGAATGCCTTTATTATTGTAGCAAAGCCAAGGCTGGCAGGAAAGTGCTGGAGCCCTGGGTCTCTCTGCTACATCAAAACAACGGGCTTAAGCAGCAAAGCGTGGCGTCAGCGGTCACAGCCACTGCAGTGATGTGCGTTTACGCCCTGAGCCCCAAGAAGCTTAAAGGAAGCAGCGGGTGCAAGGGCCCGCAAATTTCCCGAACAAGGCCTTTACAAGCTTAGGGTTCAGGGTTTAGGGTTTAGGTCCCTGAAGCCCTCGCTTACACCCCTAGTTCCTCATGAGAAAAAGGACGAGGTTTTTAGGACTGCGGTATCCACCAAGCCCCGACAGGAAGCACCTGAGTAGTATAGAGTTTAGGGTTTAGGGTTTAGGGTTTAGGGTTTAGGATTCGAGTCTTGGGGGTGTAGGGTTTCGGGTGTGCTGGCTTTCCGTTGGCTTTCTGGATAGAGGGATTGGGAGCTGTAGTAAGGCGTCAAGCCAGTCACCCAAAACCCTGAACCCCTGTACCCCAAACCCTAAACCCAAAACCTAAACCCTAAACCCTAAACCCTAAACCCTAAACCCTAAACCCTAAACCCTAAACCTAAGCCCTAAGCCCTAAACCCTAAACCCTAGCCCTAAACCCTAAACCCTTAACCTCAGTTAGGGTGGACCGCCAAGGTGGACTGTGAGCGAAGCGGCCCCGGAAGAGGCAAAGCGTGTAGCAACCCGCAGACAACCCCCTAATACAACATAATGGCCTAACCCTAAACCCTAAACCCCAAATCCCAAACCCCAGACCCTAAACCCTAAATCCTAGACCCCAGACCCAATAGCCTGAATCCCAAACCTTAAACCCTCAACCCTAAGCCTATCCCTTAATAAGAGGATTTTCCGCAGATGGCAATCGGGATCTTGTAGCAATGCAATGCTCCCATTGCGCTGAAACCTGTGAACCTGTGTGCCTCAATATTTGGTTCCTCGTTGGGGTTTCGGGTTAGAGTTCAGGATTTAGTGTTTAGGGCTTTAAAAAGATAATGGCTTTTGGGCGGGTTTAGGGTCTTGAAATGTGGCAGGGTTGCGGTTAGCCGCCGAAATTTTTCAAAGCCGAGAAAGCCCAAAGCCTACATTATGTACCCTACTATCGCCAAACCTTAAGCCTTGAAGGGGCATCTCTGCACAGGCCCCATCTGGTGAGGAGGACGGCGAGGGGGAGGATAAAGAAGGCACGCTTTGTGAGGATAAGGATGTCCGTAAGAATAGGCACGCTACTCTAGCCCGACAGGTTTCAGAGTTGAGTCACGGGGTTTACCTTCACAGAAGTAGGGTTATGAACATAGATCACCTACGTGAATTTTACATGGTACCCTGATTCCTTCATAAGGCCTCACAAGGCATCCTGATTTACAGCTCTACTTCCTAAGTTTTCTGAGCCTGTACGTGAGGATTCCTGTAGGGAATATGATATCAGACAAAGCCCGATGTTGGGTGCAGGGTTTAGGGTTTAGGGGGTCAGGGTTTAGGGTGTGTTCGCGCCTCCCACAGAAGTCCGCGGAAACGTAAGTCGAGATCTTAGCCATCTTCAGCTGGAGCCCTAGAACTCTTCCTGCCATTGGCAACTCCCTACTATAGGCCTATGCTATCAGAGCGGATATGTCGGGTAGTAGTTCAAAACGGTATAGCCATGTCGGGACTTGTGAGGCAATATTGCTAACTACAGTAACTACAGAATCTCGGCTACTGCGTTACTTGGACAACCCCCTGCGGCCAACTGCTTCTCCCCATCTTCGTCTTAATGCTACTATGTGGGGGTCTATATTTGGGGTCCCTTATTGTCGTAAACCTCCACATGTTATTTTTGGGCCATGGGACAATGCGAGGTCATCTTCCCGAAGGATTCTTCGGCTTTACTAGAAGTTGTTGAGGGACTCTTTAATTCTCAGTATGGAATTCAGGCCTTGTACTTATTCCCCCCCTTCATTTACACAAGGTGCCGTATGGGGTTTGGGATTTAGGATTTAGGGCAGGGGTCTCTAGGGGTTTTTGGGATGGCTTGACGAAATGTTCCCTACTACAAGGCACCCATAAAAATCTATGACGCAGTCATACATGGTTTAGACACCCACGAAAAACTTCACCATACACTTCAAACCCTCAACCCTAAACCCTGAACCCTAAGCCCTAAGCGTTAAACCGAAAGGGGCTACATACGGTGGGGCTTAGTGTTTTTGGGAGGGCCCCAGGGTTCTTTCTTTGTGAGGCGGGGCAGAGGCGTCGAAGACGCCGGCGCTACCGGATGCGTTGCTCACGAAGGAGGAGGCTTTGACGACAGCCCGAAAGCCTAAACACAAAGTTCGGGTACAGGGATTAGGGTTTTTGAGCCCACCCTGAGTCTTCAGATACTCCTAATATGGCCTTTATATTCCGTTAGGGATCCTTAACAAGGGACCCCACAACCCAAGGATACAACCGTAAGGGTCCAAGGTAGAAACCCCCCAGGCTGAGGCCTTGGGCCGGCCTCACATCGATTCGCATTCAGGGTTTGAGGTTTAAGGGTTTAGGGTTTAGGGTTTAGGGTTTAGGGTTTAGGGTTTAGGGTTTAGGGGGGAAAGGCTCTAGAGGTTTGGGGTTTTAGGGCTTAAGGGTTTGGCGTTTCAGGGTCGAAGGATTCTGGGGGTTTACTGGATTGGGGTTTAAGAGCATTCTCCAGTCTTACGTCGGAGTTCGTGTTCGAGGGTTCCAAGGGCCCACGGCAGCTCCCACACCTTAAGCCCCAATGCCTACAAGCTGGACCTCAACCCTCAACCCTCAACTCTCAACTCTCAACCCTCAACCCTCAACCCTGAACCCTCAACCCTCAACCCTCAACCCTCAACCCTCAACCCTCAACCCTCAACCCTAAACCCTAAACCCTAAACCCTAAACCCACTTAAATGCCCTGACCAGGTGGAGCGACTGCTGGCAACAGTTCGCTTTCCGCACCTGGAGCACAAGGACCCGCAGGGTTTAGGGTTTAGGGGTTTGGGTTTAGGGTTTAGGGTTTAGGGCCTAGGGCTTAGGGTTTAGGGTTTAGGGTTTAGGGTTTAGGGTTTAGGGTTTAGGGTTTCGAGGGTTTCGAGGGTTTCGAGGGTTTCGAGGGTTTCGAGGGTTTCGAGGGTTTCGAGGGTTTGGGGTTTAGGGTTTAGGGTTTAGGGTTTAGGGTTTAGGGTTTAGGGTTTGGGGAAGGCTCCATTCGCGTTCAGCGCGTCGCGCTTTTCTGTAGCTTCTCCTACCTCAGGGTCCAGAGTCCCGACATCCCAGGGGCTGAGCCCAAGGCAACCTAAGCCGTCGAAGCCATCCTCAACCTTTGTGGGACCCTAAGCCCTAAGCCCTAAACCCTAAACCCTAAACCCTAAACCCTAAACCCTAAACCCTAAGCCCTAAGCCCTAAACTCTAAACCCTAAACCCTTGTGGGAGGCTCTCTTTGCAACAGTGTGAGGACCTTCTGGCTGCCATGAAGGATCCCATCCTCGCCGAGGAGTGCAACGGGTTGTTTAGGGTTTCGGGTTTAGGGTTTAGGGGGAGGTTTGACTTAGTGACGGAAAGGAACACGCAGATTGAGGCGTAAAGTCTTCCGTATGATCCCGACCCTAGATGTCTACGATTCTTGAAATACCCGCGAGTCTGCGAGTCTTATTATAAGCCTACTTACAACCCACTTAGAGGACTTAGGGGGCTTATAAGTGCAGTCATAATTGGGGTTATAAGTACCCATGAACCTCCAAGTAGTCGGCTGCGTGTTCTGCAGCTTCGGCAGGTATATGAACCCTAAACCCTAAGCCCTACACCGATCTTGAGGAAGATTTGGCAATTAGAAGGGGGGGGGGGGGGGGGCTGGAGGTGCACTATTTAGGAAAATTAAGAGTTTTGTTTCGGGCTTGCCTGAAACTTAATCCCGCAACCTCAGTTATCCCCAAGCCTCGACCTAAACCACAAGCCGATCGTAACCCTAAACCCCGAACCCTGAACCCTGAACCCTAAACCCTAAACCCTAAACCCTAAACCCTAAACCCCGAACCCTAAACCCTAAACCACAGCCACCTTGGGATGCTCCCCTTATACGAAAGGTCCTTAATAGGGATCATAGTACCCCCTTATGATACTGTAATCCCTGTTAAGGACTGTAGGATTTAGGGTTTAGGGTTTAGGGTTTAGGGTTTAGCTGTTAAGGACTGGTAGTTTCAGGGGGAACATCTCAACCTCAACCCTTTGTGGAGTCGGAGGTGCTGCTTGCCGTCCAAAGGGGCCGCAAGACTTTGGTCGAAACAGGAAGCCTGAACCCTAAACCCCAAACCCCTTTAAACCCTAATCCCTAAACCCTGAACCCTAAACCCCCCCTGAACCCTAAACCACTTGCTGGTATAGTATAGGGCCTACTTACAGCCCTACAAACCCGAGGCCCCAAAGTGATGTACCATGAAGCCCCTTGAAGCTAAGGGAACTTAACCTGTTTGATCAACTGGTTGCTGTTTAGGGTTTCGGGGTTTAGGGGTTTAGGGTTTAAGGGGTTTAGGGTTTAGGGTTTAGGGTTTAGGGTTTAGGATTTAGGGTTTAGGGTTTAGGGTTTAGGGTTCCAGTTCAGGGGCTTAGGAGTTTGAGGGTTTGGAAAGGCTGGCGCCCAACAGCACATCCTGGCTGCGCTGTCCTCGCGGCTTTCACACTACGAGGTGCCTAGGGAGAGTAGGCCCTTGTTGCCGTTTTTTTTAGGGTTCAGGGTTTAGGGTTTAGGGTTTAGGGTTCAGGGTTTAGGGTTTAGGGTTTAGGGCTACTAGGACCCAGAGTAGGCCCTTATTCCCTTGTTGTTAAGGTTTGGGTTCCCTTTAGAAGCCCCTTTAAGAACCCAAAAAAGGGCACCCTTTTATTCCTAGTGTACTCCTGGGTCTAGGGACACTGCCCCGATTACCTTTTCCTCAAATTCTCCCTTTCCCTCTCTCTCTCTCTCTTTTGCTCTTGCTCTCTCTCTCTCTCTCACGCTCTCTCTCTCTCTCTCTCCATCTATC